TTCACAAACTATCGATAAGGCTATCATATAGAGCAACACAACATAACTATATGACTCCGTCCCAATCTCCCACCAGCACCTAACGGCCATGCCAACGGCGCGCCCCCCCCCCTACCCAAGTTAATTTGATACCAAACTGATGCCCAAAGGGTCGAAAATTTTTTGGAACGCACCCCCTCCCCCCCGCTCATCTGAAGGTCTGGATCAGCCACAGACAGCAATACACAACGTATCTTCGTGACATGCAAATGTAACCCCTTTAGTTTTCTTACAGAAGAGTGAGTTAAACAAGTGAATTATTGAAAGTAATTGAATTTGTACTTTTTTTCCATTTCAACAGGACTGTGAGCTCAAGTCTGTTGTTTACATAGTTATCAGCTTAACAGTAGCAGGTATTTGACAATTCTTTTTATTGTACTTGGTAATACTGTACAGTTTAATCTCTTTTACCTCTACAATGTGTTTCTGTTCATTTCACAATCTGTTCCAGTCAAACTTTCCGCCAAGAGTGGATTTGATGAATATAAATGGAAAAGTTATTACTATCCATTTCAGTGATGGTTAGCTGTTGTGTTGTGACGCAGTGTCTTTTCAGTAGTGTGAAGTATCGTCTGTAATAGATGGTGTGCGCAGCTGTTTTTTTTTTTCTCTTAAGTGGGGAGGTTGCGTGATGACCCCAGACTCGGCTGCTTTGGCTACTAGATGAAGTGCGACAAATTTTTGAAAACGCGTTCTTTGTTGTTTTTTTTTTGTCAGTCGCAGTTGTAGCGGTAGGATTTTTCGTGGTCAGGAGATACAGACGGTAAGCAGATAATTTTATAAAACAGCCTAACAGGTGAATACTCCTTCTTTTAATAATTTTTTTCTGTGGTAGACAGTGAAGTAAACAGAATTTCTGATGCGATTATTTCGTCTTGCAAACAAGTTTTCGAGTTCTACATTTAGAAAGTCGCGAGAATCAAAGATCACGCGCTTATAAGCCTTGAGAGATTGTCGCGCAGGTGTTACGCGTTCTTTTCGCTCTCTGGTTGTACGTGACACCCACATTTTACATGGATGTACATTCAAGGATTGTACATACTCGGGTTACACGGCTCTGGTACCCTCCTTTCTCCCTCCAGTGTTGTTCGGTAATAGTTTCTCTGTGGATTTTTCCGAATTTGAGGCCAACATGTAAAGGGAAAGCGAAAAGGAAGCCAAGCACAACTTGTCAACGTTTTAATGTTACGAATTGTAGCTAGGATCCTTACATAACCCAGCCGGTAATCTTGTTTCCAGATGAAAATTGTGTTCATAGGCATTCAGCGATTAAATCTCACCTCCAGGGAGAAGGAACGCCTACAAATTATAAACAATTCTGCTGAAAGGATGAAAAAAGAGTAGAAAAGAGTCAGTCGCATAAAACGACGGATATGCGTAATGGTACAAACCATAAATTTTCCCCATGTGCACTGTAAGTAGCCTTACTCTCTCGTCGCAATTTCCAGATCTGAAACGGATAGTTCCATTGCAAGCAGGATTGTTTACATTTTTAACTAATCGTGATTTTATCAAATAAAATGTTGTTAGTAGTCATTTTAAATTATTTAATCATTTGTTTTTGCGAGCAGCACGCTAATCTTTGGATATCCTGTGGTTGTTTGGGTGTTCTGTTGCTATTTAAGCGTTACAATCTGGATGTATGTTTGTCAGGATAATTTTTTAGCAAGTATGTTCAGGGGTGTCAGCTTGATTTTAAATCGCAACACTCTTATCGCGTCATTCTGATTGTGCTTTCGCACTTTGTAGCGCTCGCAAACAGCTTTAAATGATTTTCGTATGACCGTAAACTGGCCACTAAGGACCCAGAATCACAAAGAGCTCGTGATTTTAGGACCCCTAAGTAGTCAGTTATCCTGCAACTATAAATTGACCTAATAAAACAGCCTGTAATTAGAGAATTGTGTATTTCAGTTCACTTACACTTACAATTTGTAACCTCTCGTAAATTTATATTTATTTCAACAGAAATAATGAACAGAGGCAACGCCTGCTGGAAAGACAACACCCAGTTTATACAGGCTGGTGAAAGAGATTTCTTATAGCAACTAGGAACATCGAGGAAATCCTCGGTATCAAAAATGATGTAAATTAAGTTTAGCTAATGTATGTTTAGGTAGTGGGGACGTAGTTAAGAAAAGAAATGTGCAGGGAAAATTCTTCTCCCTCTGTTCGATTTTCATTTTACGCTCCGCTTCTTATCTCACGCTCATTGTCTCACTTCGCGCTCCGCTTCCCATTTCACGCTCCCCTTCTCTTTTCACGCTCTGCTATTCATTTCACGCTCCTCTTGTCATTTCACGCTCCCCTTCTCATTTCACGCTCCGCTTCTCATTTCACGCCCCCCTCCTCATTTCAGGTCCCCCTCCTCTTTTCCCTACCCCCCCCCTCCCTCACCACCTCCAACCGCCTTCATCCTCCCCCCCTGTCGGCCGTCCTTGCACCTCACGGCTTCCGCTGCAGCACTCGGTGTAGGCCGCTTCTCTCGCCATAACTCCCACATCCTTCCTTTTCGCGCTTTCTACACATTCTGCCCATCCAACACCGCCTATTTTCTCCCTCCCGGCCCCCCCTACCCTTTTCCCCCCCCCTCTCCTGTTCCCCCTCTGTTCTTCTTTTTTCCGCCCCTTTTTTCTTTCCCCCCCCCCCTCCCTTTTCCCCCCCCCCCTCCTTCTTCTCCCCCCCTTCCCTTTTTATCTCACGCTCCTCTTTTCCCCCCCCCCCCCCCTTCTCATTTTACGCTCCACTTCTCATTTCACGCTCCACTTCTCATTTCACGCCCCCCTTCTCATTTCACGCTCCCCTTCTCATTTTACGTTCCCCGTCTCATTTCACGCCCTTCTACTGATTTCATGTTCCTCCCACGACCTGAATACATGGAACGGGCCTCACCATTTAAAGAAAACATCTGCCGTGGTAATGTGGTTCTCTGTGTTTTGTAGTGTTCTACAAAAATATTTAGGGGAGCATTTTTCATCCGTGGTGCGTGTTATCGATATCAATTATTGTTAGTTTGGGAGGTTTTTGTCAATGAATAAGTGGATTCCAGATTCGCAACGAATTCACAGGGAAAATAGATAAAAAAAGAAGATAAAAAATATTTTGCATTCGTCTTAGTCCTTATGTACGATAAAAAATTACAACATCGTTCGATACATTGTAAAATATATAGAGGTCAAACTGGTACTAACGGCAAATCGATGAACTAGTCAACAAAATGTTAAAGCAAAAAATATGTTTCAACAAAATTATACTCTGTAGCGCGGCCATGCCCATAAAGGAATGTTTCGTTCCTCATGGCCCGACCGACCCATTTTTTCAGGAAATGAAACACCAAAATTTGACAAAATCCTTTCTGCTGTGAAAAAAAACGTAGTTTGATACGGTTTTTTCAATGAACGTTACTATTGTTATAACCATTTTCGCATTTCCTTTTAAAGTTGTTTACGCTTTTATTTGTTAAGACGGGTTTCTCTCAGGAGACGAATAGAAGACACATCTGCAGTCTCTTTCTTTACATGTGCTGTTTGAACGTGATTCTCACCGTGGCTTGTTTTAACTTCTTGTTTTTTACCCTTTCGACCGACCTACTTCTACAAAATATTGCGCGATGAAAAACGAAACACATACATGTGATGGGCATGTCCTTTTGGAACAATCAAAAGGTTCATTTCCTCGCATAGCTTAAATTTAAATAACTTTCATCTTCCCCATGGCGTGCGCATGCGCGTATATGCGTCACATTGATCCGCTGGAAATTTTTATTGCCGGTTTCTAAGCTTGAAAACAGTAAATTCACTTGACAACGAGGTCATCAACTCTCAATCCCTTTCCTCTTTTAAGAAAAAACTGAAGATTAAATTATTGAGTAAATATGAAAACAGTTCATAAATCTTTCCATCTTCGACTTTTCGTCATCTTTTATTCAATTGATGTGAAACAGCTCTAGCCCGTAGTTCGAGGAGGCCTAACCTCTCATAAGCTGCTATAGTTTCTGTTAGGTCTCCTCGCCACTTCCTTTTTTTCTTCTTTTCGTATATTTTTTGTAATTATTGTGTGGCAAGTAAAAATAAAATAAATAAATAAATATCTCCACCCTATACCTTAAAAAAATGACCTCACCCTCAGTTTCCCCAAATTACGCACCTGTTTGTTAAATTGACTCTTATTGTTACCGTCTGCCCTAGGAAGTAAAGCTAAAGTTTGCGAGTAAAATTTCTGTACAGGTCATTATGAAATTGTCTTGTAGTAAAAAGCACAGGATAATTTATATTTATATTTTTAGGTTTGTATTAATATCTTAGGCTGGTCCTGATGACTTTATACCTAAGGAGGTGCTTGGTAAATAAAAATTTACACCTAACTGTGTTTAATTTTTTTTCTTTTCTTTCTTTATCACTTGCAAACATATCATGTATGGACTTTGTGTTATATTTAGTTAGGATCTATTTTTGTGTCCTGATCGCGTCTTTATATATGTTGTGGTCAGTCGGAGCTCTGCTTTTAGGCTTGGCTATATCTATACACGAGCCTGTAAACAGAGAGCGTTTTCACAGGCTAAATGTGTCTTGTGGTGTGGTAATAATCAAACGTCTCTGTTGACAGTTGATATCGTCAGGATAATTACAAGAGTCCGGAATAATGGCCTAAAGGCCTTGTCTACAGCTCTCCCTCTCCCTCTGTCTTTCCCCTCCCCTTTTCTCTCCCCCGCCCCCTCGTCTTTGTTCTGGCCTTTTCGCCCCAACTCTCATTTTTTTGTGCTTTGTTGCGGACACCTGTGCCACAGGCGCTTTGAGGTGGGGAGCAATAAAGTTATGAACGGGGATGTTCTGCCGCAACTAATCCCCGTCTTCCTTTCCTAACCTGCAATAAGCCATTTGCACGATGACGTCATTTTACTACTACCACCTGAATCCTTTAGGGTTTTGCTTTCTTGTGCAAATTAACGCTTTTGTTATTTAAACCTCTCTGGGATTACAAAATTTAAATATGAAAGAAAAAACGAAAAGGATTCTGGTCGTAGTAGTAAAATGACGTCATTGTGAAAATGGCCTATTAGAATTTCAGTTAGTTTTTAGAGCTTCGTCTCAAAATACTTAAACGGATCGGCCGTCTGGTGTGTCTTTTGGAGGAACAGTTATCGTTTCTTACCCTTTTTTACCTCGAACGGTGCTGTAAGCCTTACTCCATTACATATCCCTAAAATGAGTTTTGCTTGGCTGTAATTCCACCGGCCAGTTCTTCATAACCAGTTGGCGAGCGTTGAACAACTTTGGAAGATGTTTGCTTTTATTTCATGATTGACGTCAATATTGACGTCGCGCGAAGACAGCGGCGCGGTGGATCAGCTGTTTTGGTAGTGCAGAGCTGGAGAAAATGGCAGAGGATTTCACACGTTATTCGAAAACGAAATAGCGGAAGGAAGGCTTCAAAAACGTCACAGTAATAAACAAATTCCACCCGAGGAATGTCAAATAATATCTTCACGCAAAAATATCCGTTCATATCCTGAAATCGCTGAGGAAGAGGCAATTTGGAGACAGGTATTTTACGTTACGAATCTTTTCAAAGTTTTCAAGAGTTATTCTCAACTCCAACACGAAAAAAAGGGCTAAATGTTTTCTTCAACTGAGTTCTTTCGGTTTTTTGAAAATGGACAAAAACAAAGTTGCGTGACGTAGTTTAGGATGCAAGAACATTTTTCGAAAATTGGCAATGAGTCAAAGTAACTGTTGTGACCATACCTCTCGGCGCGTAGACCACGTGACCGCACGAAAATTGGAGGGTGCAGCAGTCCTGTCATCCAAGGGTCAGCCACACTGAATGCCAGATGCAAACCGGAAGTAAAACATTAATGCGTTTATGGAGAGAAGCTGACTTATTTTGTTAATAATAAGTGAGGCTGACATTTCCTTCATTTAAAAATGGCTACTGTATGTCCACAAGAATCCGTGGTAGAAAACGAAGATGAAAATGAAGGAGAACCTCTCCTTCGTCGTTCGCAAACCGACTTCCGTCATGGCCGCGATGTACAACATACAAACAGATGCATTGCGTCGATGCTGATTGTTTTCAAGATATGTTTTTGTTCGCTCGGTTTGTGGGGACATCAGTTGTGGAACTATATACCTCGTGTTTTATTTATGCTAGTTTGTATCTTTCAAACTATCTACAGGTTATTTATCGATTTTGGTTGCGTAGACTTCGACTGTCACTTCATGCAAAACTCAACATCCGAAGCTAAAACGCAGGTTCATAAAGATGACGTCTCAACTGGCTACGCAATTATTTTCTCCGTAGCTTCCTTTGCGGCAGACTTGTCCTATGTTGTTTTAGTTTGTTCTTTTGTAGTGGCCAAACGGATGAACTCGGCGTTAGTGGCCCCATCAGAGACATTAACAAAGGACCTCAACAACACCGATGTAACTTTGTTATCTTTTGCTTTCACTTTCATTAATACGTCGCTTTTGTGTTTAGTAGTCTCAATTTATCTTTCACCATCAAGCATCGAGATGCTTAATTCCACCTCTTCTCTTGCCGAAATGGCAGGGATAGCGGGGCAAGTCTTGGCTCATTGGACATCTATCAATACCTGTCACGTTTTCGCAGTTAGTACTGCAGCTATAGGTAAGTATACTTAATAGAAAGTAACCGAATGATGCCTAGCTTGTTCCAGGCTTCAAGATGGTGGGGAAAGCGGATCGAGAAACGTTGCGTAAAAACTGCGTGGGGGCTGGTGAGAGACGGTANTCCACAAGAATCCGTGGTAGAAAACGAAGATGAAAATGAAGGAGAACCTCTCCTTCGTCGTTCGCAAACCGACTTCCGTCATGGCCGCGATGTACAACATACAAACAGATGCATTGCGTCGATGCTGATTGTTTTCAAGATATGTTTTTGTTCGCTCGGTTTGTGGGGACATCAGTTGTGGAACTATATACCTCGTGTTTTATTTATGCTAGTTTGTATCTTTCAAACTATCTACAGGTTATTTATCGATTTTGGTTGCGTAGACTTCGACTGTCACTTCATGCAAAACTCAACATCCGAAGCTAAAACGCAGGTTCATAAAGATGACGTCTCAACTGGCTACGCAATTATTTTCTCCGTAGCTTCCTTTGCGGCAGACTTGTCCTATGTTGTTTTAGTTTGTTCTTTTGTAGTGGCCAAACGGATGAACTCGGCGTTAGTGGCCCCATCAGAGACATTAACAAAGGACCTCAACAACACCGATGTAACTTTGTTATCTTTTGCTTTCACTTTCATTAATACGTCGCTTTTGTGTTTAGTAGTCTCAATTTATCTTTCACCATCAAGCATCGAGATGCTTAATTCCACCTCTTCTCTTGCCGAAATGGCAGGGATAGCGGGGCAAGTCTTGGCTCATTGGACATCTATCAATACCTGTCACGTTTTCGCAGTTAGTACTGCAGCTATAGGTAAGTATACTTAATAGAAAGTAACCGAATGATGCCTAGCTTGTTCCAGGCTTCAAGATGGTGGGGAAAGCGGATCGAGAAACGTTGCGTAAAAACTGCGTGGGGGCTGGTGAGAGACGGTACAGTAGATTCCTTGAAGTAGTAGAGCAGTCTCCCCTTCTTTCTTCCCGCCGTTTTTCGCTCGTTCGCTATTTCACTGCTAGCTCAGTCACTTTTTTCGCTCATTTTCACTGACTGAGAGCCTGGAACAGGCTAAATTGTGCCCCTTATTTTTTTTCTAGATTTTCATTCTTAGGCTAAGTTTAAAAAAAACAAATGTTCTCGTCCGGATTTCAATAGAAAAGAGAGCGGACGAGCGCCTTTCTTTTGTTATTTCAAAAAAACACCAATAGGACTATGATTTAGCCTGCCTGAAAGCTCTCGTAGTTTTCTTCTTTGGCATACACTGCAGAACGGGTAGCAGTCGTCTTGAATTACTAAATCGACCTTACTTCCACAAAAAAAACACAGTGGATCAGCGAATGAAACACAGAATGGCAGTGCTGTCAACTCTCGCCAACTCTCCCGGATAATTCGGGAGACTCCAGATTTTGGACCGTATCTCCGGGTCTCCAGATTAGAGTATGAAATCTCCCAGATATTCACCGAAGTTTGCCATTAAGTTGTAGACTCGACTTTCCTTCAATAAACTTTTTTAAAAGTTGTTTGAGCTATTTTACTGTTAACATCGAACGTTTCCTCATAAACTTCCGTATTGTATATTATGCCATTGCAATATACGCAATAATTTGAAACATTGCAAATTCGTGACGATCGGCTCAACGAGTATTTTTTGCACAAAGGGCGTCATATACCGTGCGATATGACGTCATCTATCATCCCTTCCCTATCAATTCTCAATATTTGAAGACGTGGGGCGTTGACAGCCCTGCATTATGGAACCCCTATTTAGCTTCAGTTCAAATCAAAACGCAGACAAAAGCCATCTCTTTTTATATATTTAGAGTTTTCTTTGTACTCAATTGAGGAGAACTGAAGTAAAAGTAACGCCTGTTGGTTTTTGTTCGTACAAACGTTACTAATAACAAATAATAAACAAAGAGAGGCGGCCCAAAAAACTGAAGCGGGCGGGGACGAGAAACATTGTTTTTTTTTGTTGTTGTTACTTGGCCGTTACCGTCATTGTAAGGCGAAGTACAAAAATCAGCAAATTGACAAAATTCAAGGTTTTTATAAAAGATTAAGGGAAGCCATGTTCGGAAAGATAGGATGGACACAGTGGCAAGTTCCAGTTCCATAACCGACGCCACATACTGGTGATGAATTTGTTATTGACTCTCTTCTCCGCTCCATAGGGTAATATTTTTCTCCGGGTACTTCGGTTTCAGTTCTCTCCTCTCAAATACCAACATCTCCACTCCAATTTCATCTGGACACTAAGAGGGCCACAAGCTTATCAGTTCCGAAACTGTCATGTGTCACCCATCTCCGAACATGCATTCCCCATAATTAACGTTAGTTTGTGCGCAATTAATCACAACCTAACCAGTTCCAGCAGCATTGGAGATCTCTATTTCTGATTGGCTATAAAATATTTCCTGGGCGATCGGACATGGATATTTCAAAAGCATGTGGAACTGCCTAGGTAAGATTGAGTCGTTAGGGTTAGGATCGTTTTCGCCACTCTTTCTGTTTGGGGGAGGAAGGCGGGCTCATCTCCTGAACAGCGTCTGATGTCCGAGGCTAAACCGGCCTCCGGGGATGCGTAGACCTGTACAAAAGTGAGGGTCGTTATTTGTTTTATACCATGATCCATAATGCACAATTGACCAAAGCCTGTCTCACCATTATGCTCCCCCCACCCTTTGTTCAGGCTAAATTGGACGGTCCACCCCGCCTTCAGCTAAAAGTCAGCTGAAAAGCTGAGACATTATAAGAAAACAACCAAACATATAAACGCCTTGCCATCATGATGATACAGTATCCACAAATATAATTCTAATATTTTATTTTGTTCTGGGCTCAGGTACCTTTTCACAAGATACCTTCAGGCTCATGCAGGCTGTTCAAAACGGGACCCTAAATGAAATTATAAGAATACACGAAGACCTTTGCTCAGTAGTCTTCAGTACCGTGTCAGCCTACAGTGTGTGGTTTGTACTACACTGGTTCATGTACGGAGCAAGCGTCGTTTTAACAGTCATATACATCACAGAGGAGGTTCATAACAGGACCAAGTACCATACTCCCACGATTGAATTCGTCTTTCTCGGGTTGACACTCGTCTGTGTTCTTTATCAGTTTTTATTTCCTTGTTTTTGTGCCGCTAGGATGACAAGCAACTGCACTGGTAAGATATTCATCGAGTTAAATCAGGAGCCCATGATGGGCCCATGATGGGCTTCTGGTTACATACAGACCAGCAGACCAGGGGTAGCCCGGGCTCCGCACGTGAAGGAAAAAGGGCGGAAAAATCGGCGAGCCGAACGGGAATCTTGGGAGGGGAAAGGCGGCGTCCAACTGTTTCACCCCGTTTTTTGCCTTTTTCCCAACTGTAGGAAGCCTGGTCCGAGGCTCACCGGGGTAAACTTTTAAATTCCCTATAGAGGTGTAGGCACTGTTTCTCTGAGACTCTAGATCTCTTGCAGATCTAGACAAGGCAAAGATAAAATTTGCGACTTTGTCAGTAACATTTCCCTAGTGATCCCACACTCGATCGTTTTATATTTCTTGGAAACATCGGCCTTGCTCAAAAAAGGTGATTTTTCATACCCTGTTCGACACATGTATTCTAAAACTAAGAACAAATTTCTACGTCATAAACTTGCATGGGCACCCGCAACTTCGCGAAGATCCCGCGTGGAACTTCAGGAGATGGGGGATCGTGTTGCGATATTTCTTGAGTGCTGTCTGAACTTCCCAAGTGCTTCATATCTCTATACACAACGCATGCTCAGCGGAAGAATGTCCAGTGATCTTGCTTTCAAAGAGACAAGGATGAAAGAAATGGAATTTATTCATCTCCCATAAGAAGGTTATTTCCGACGCCATTTTAATTTGTTTTGTTTGGGGTGCGTGAATGGCAGAAATTGCACAAATTGTGCTAAAAAAATTTTTTTACAAAATTTAATAAAATTAAAGAATTATCTCACTGATAGCCGATCTGTCGCTTAATTTTCTGATCTTGCTCACTCTGCACTCAGCCATGAATTTAGTTCAGTAGGTAGTTGAAGGAAGCCTATGATATAAGCTTCAAGCTTCGTTAGGCTTCCTTGTCACATTAATTTTATAATTTAATTAACACCTTTTGTCCATGTTGTATAAGGTTTTGTGAGTGACTAAAATAAATAAATAAATGAATAAATAAATAAATAAAAATTGCATACACATTTGATGACTGATATCGGTGGAACCATGCAGCCCCATCACTGGAAAAGGTATCCAGTTGCGGTCTGCTACACGGACCATCGCATCTGGTATTATATATAGAGATAAGGCCTGTTTGGTCTGTCCTTTGTGTAATAGTCGGAACAGGTTTTAAATATACTTTGAGTTAAGATGAATATTCTAATATTTCATTTCATTCAAAGGTATTTACGAGAAGATCAACTGCAGCATATCTGAGGACTGGCACGATGGCCATCCGTTTAAAGATCGTCGAAATATAACAATGTTTGTTTCCTACGCTGAGAAGAGAAGATGTGGGTTCAAAGTCGGTAGAATCACGTTCACCACTAGTTTGGCTTGGTTTTCTTTTTTCTTTGGTCTTTTGGGTTTACTTTACCACTTTTTTTGATCTTTTAATTTTGACGATATATGTACCAAGT